CTCTGTGCCCACGGGGCACTGGGCTGGAGCAAAATCTGGCTACTCCCTCTCCTCTCGCCCACAGCTGCCCGGAGGGTCTTCTTTGCTCACAAGCCCAGGAGAGGCCCGGGTCCGAATTCTGATCCCACGCCTGGCAGCTCAGTGCCCAGGGGCTGCCACTCACTCTCGTTTTGAAAGGACTAGCACACAGGGAGGCTGCGACGAGCTGGAGGCTTGACCCTGGGAGACCCTGCCATGGACGGGCAGGGGCCGCCCCACGGACGGAGGCCAAGCCCTGGTCCTCTGCAAGCCCCAGGGGGCCCCAGCCCGCCCGGCCTCCCCACGTGGCCCCATGGGCTGTAGGTCAGGAGCCCCCTTGCTGGAGCCCTGTTTCTGTTCCCCAGTTTCGGGGTCACTGACCTCAGGACGGGCATTCACTTGGACTTTCTCGGAAGCACTCCTGGCTCTGTTCTGACTCCTGGGCAAGACCGGAAGTGGTGGTGGAGAAGGTGGGTGCAGGCAACAGGGTGGCTGTGGGGGCGGCCCTGCGAGCCAGGACTGGTTTTTAAGGCTTGTGATTGTCTCGTGCCAGAGGGCCAGTTGGGGTCACAAAGTTCCCCTGTGCCCCCAGGGGATGGCACAGCAAGGCAGTGTAACCTGGGGTGAGTCGCCCAGCTTCTCAGAGCCCCAGCTCCCCCAGCTGTAAAGTCAGATGAAGCAGAGTGAAGGTGTGCATTGCGCTGCCCGCGTGCCAGGCTCAAAGGGCGCCATTGGGTCCTCGGGGCAGCAGCCGTGGGAGGCCGGTGTGTTTGCTGTTTCCAAGTCACAGGACGGTGGTGAGGATGGATGAGAGCCTTGCTAGCAAGTGGCAGAGCTGCACCTGGCAGAGAGGAAGCCCTGGGCAGGCCCTGGCGCCCACTGCATGGCAGCCTTGAGTTCCAAGGAGCCCGTCTGCTGAGCCCCCCTCTAGGGGCAGGCAGAGTTGGGTAACGAGCACTGAGCACCCGCCGAGTGCCAGGCCCGGAGACGCAACTCTGAGTAAAAGTCTCAGGCGTGGAGCTCAGAGCCAGGCGGCCCTGCCAGGAGCAGAGGAAGGTCTGCCTTGGTGGGAGGGGGGAGGGGGGAGGGGGGAGGGGGGAGGGGCGGCGTGGGTGCCCGGCATGTCTGTGGAGGGCGGCCTGGGCTCCAGGCTCGGCCGACTGTGTCTGTGGGTTGACCGTGTCCAGGGGACAGTGCCGATCCCCTCACTGGCTCTAATCCACCCATCAAATGCTTCCTGTTACGTCCCTGGACCTGGCCTTGGAGTGTGACTATAAGAGTCTGGGTCAGGATCTCAGCTCTCACTCGTGAGACCTTGGGCACGTCTCCTAGGAGACATCTGCATGCCCTGGGCAATGTCTGTGTGCATTTCTCAGGGCAGCAGCTGCTGGGTAGTCCACTGCACTTGGATCCTGCCATCACTGGGCACCGGGGACCCCGAATCTCCCACATCCAGGAGGCAGACAGTAGAGACGAAAAGCAACAGTGTGGGTCCCTTGCTGGTGCGGCTGGCTCAGGTGGGTAGGAAGAGGCTCTGACCTCTTCCTACATACCAGGAATTTGGGGGTTCGATTCCTGGTCAGGGCACATATCTAGGCTGTGGGTTTTGCCCTCAGTTGGGTGTATATGGGAGACAGCCAATTGATTTTTTTTTCCTTTTCTCCCTTCCTCTCTCTCTAAACATATCTAAACAAATAAACATATTTAAAAAATAAACAATAAAAACAGCAGGGTGGGGTGTGCACAAATGGGGCTTGTGCAGGGCGTGGGGCAGGAAGGCTCTGAGGTGTCAAGTGGGCCAGGGTTGTGCTGGGGGGGGGCAGGCCTGTGCAGGTGGTGCAGCAGGTGCGGGGAGCCCCCGAGATGCTGGCTCGGATGCACAGGTAGCCATGGGGAGGGTGCCCGCATGGAGGCACTGGGTGCTGGGGTGCGGGTGAATGTGTGCATCTGTGAGCCCCAAAGAGAGCCAGGGGGTGAGGGGCAGAGGGAGACAGCAACCCAGACCTGCCTGGATTCGGGCTGTGACCAGTCTCTTTGAGGAACAGCAGGTGGCGCTCCTGGGCTGCCCAGCCCGAAGGCTCTGCGTCACCACGTCACCACCTCTCCTCCGGCTGTCGGGAAAGAGTGAGGGCTGCCCTGGGAAGCCTCGGGGCTGGCAGGAACCCCTAACGAAGGGCAATGCTCCCTGCTCCCCCGGAGCATGGAGACCATCCTAATGGCCTCCCTGAGAGCGAGCAAATCCTCTGAGTCTTTCGAACCTCTTGAGACAGTGCCCACTAGCTTTCAGGGCGGCCCCTGCCATCGGAGGCCAGCGGACGTTCCTGCACAAAGCGGACATTGGGCCCTGACTCTGCCCTCTGGGAGCTCCTCAGAGCCAGACCATCCCCTGGGCCTGGGGCGGCCCCCACTGGGAGGTGATGACCCCTACATTCATGCCGGGCCACCTGCACTGAACCCCCAGGACAGTGGCAGGGAAGGACACCTGGCACTGAGCTGGCTGGCACACACAGGCACTCAGTTGGTATTTGGAGAATGAGCAAATGAATGAACCCTGTGCGCTCGTTATTCCCATATTACAGTTGGGAAAGCGAGGCTCAGAGAGGTGAAGTTACTCACCTACCATCACACAGCTCAGAACTGGCAGAGGTTTGGTTTGAACCCAGGCATTTGCCCAACTCTGAGTCAGAGCTCTTCAGCTCCAAGCTCTACTGCCTCCACCAGAACCAGCCCCCCCCACACTGGGCCTCATCCGGGACCCCATCAGTCCCGCTCCACTGGTGGGTCAGAATTCCTAAAGGGGCCCTGGCTGGTGTAGCTCAGTGGATTGAGCGCGGGACTGCAAACCACGCAATAGAGGTTCGATTCCCAGTCAGGGCACATGCCTGGGTTGCAGGGCAGTTCCCAGCAGGGGACGCATGAGAGGCAACCATACATTGATATATCTCTCCTTCCCTTCCTCTCTAAAGATAAATAAATAAAATATTTAGAAAAAAAAAAGAATTCCTAAAGGGGTTTGGGAATGGGACCTCAGACTGGACCTCAGAATTCCCAGGGAATTTTTAAAAAGACTTTATTTATTTACTTTTAGAGAGGGAAAGGGAGGGAGAAAGAGGGAGAGAAACATTGGTTGCCTCTCGAACACCCCCAACGGGGGACCTGGCCCACAACCCAGCATGAACCCCAACAGGGAATCGAAAGGGTGGCCTTTTGGTTCGCAGGCCTTCGCTCAGTCCACTGAGCCACACCAGCCAGGGCAGAATTCCTAGGGAATTTTAAGCCTCAGAGTTGGAATGTTTCCCTCCCTTCCTCTCCAGGAACTCTGCCAAAGGGTCCTTGGCCGGGACTTACATAGCCTTTAGGAATGTGGCCCTCACTCCCTCTCAGGGAACACCTTCGAAGTCAGCTCCACTTTATGTCACGCTGATGTCTGTCTTCTGGACCTCCTTCCAAGGCCCGCAGGACAAGCGCAGGTTCCCTGGCCACTGCAGGCCACGGCTGGTGCCGCAGAGCCTGCCCCTCCCAGGGCACCTCGCACACTCCCCTCTGCGCTCTGCCCGTCCTGGTTTCAGTTCTGTTGTCCTCAGGGGAATAGTTCCAGATTCCACTCAACCGAGTTCCTGTTTTCTGATGGCAGGCCCTTCCCTGGGTGGCGGGACTCAGGGGCTGAGAGCAGAGGCTTCCAGTTTGCTATCTGGCAAATAACTTCCCCTCCGGGCCTCAGTTTCCCATCAAGCAAGCGCAGACGTTGATCTCAGGGGGTCGCTGAGAGGACGGAAGGAGATGGCCCACGTGAAGCGCCGGCTGCCACACCTGGTATACAGTCGGCGCTTAATGTTCGTCCCTTCTCCTCCCAAAACACCTGGGTGGGGTGAGCTCGGGTGAATGGGAAACACATTCATTGACAACAAATGTGTGTTGAGCACCCACTACGTGCCAGCCTCTGTGCCAGTACCGGGGACCCAGAGGCAAACAAGCCCACGCCCACGCCTGCCCCCCCCCCCCCAGCTCTGTGCTAGTTGGTGGTGGGAGTGGGAACAAAAACAGAAAGTGCACAGCACAGCAGGCGGGAGTACGGGCGCGGACAGGGTGGGGGGGGGCAGACGGGGCACGGCTGTGGAGACAACTGCAGGATATCACGCAGGGTGCAAAGACCACCACAGGAGCGTGCTTCTTACACCACCTGCCCCAAAGGGGTGGAGTCTCCATTCTGCCCGAGGAACCTGAGTCTCAGACAGTAGGGGCTGCTTGCCCGAGGTCGCAGCTAGTGGGGAAGCAGCGCCGCTCCTGGTCTGCCCAGCTTTTCCTCCTTCCTCTGCAGATCCGGCGACAGGGCCCAGAAGTCAACGCCCCGCAGGTGCAGAGGGGAGACTGAGGCCCGGAGAGGGCCGTGTTTAATCTGAGGTCATCCAGCCCACCCTTGTCCTGGGGACATCAAGCCCAGGGTCCTCCAACGTGGGCTTGGATGACCTGGGTGTGGAGTGGGTGGTGGGTCCAGGAAGAGCCATGTGAATGGGGCGCGTGGGGGGAGGCTGGTAGTGACCACACAAATGCGACCCATCAACTCAGACCCTCGGGGGAGCCAGGCCCCGCACCCCGCATTCCCACGCGGGACGCTCCCCTTTCCTCATGACAGCCCGAGGAGACGCGTTCTGAGGGATCCCCGTTCTCCAGGCCGAGGCTTAGAGAGACGGGGTCCTCGTCCTAGACGGCACAGCGGCCGGGGGAGCGCCGCTGTCCCGCCGACCCCCACTGCGGCGGGGACTGCCCGTGCCAGGGCGCGGGGCGCGCGGGGGACCCCGGCGCACCGGCTCTGGGCGGGGAGCTGGGGCGCTGGCGGCGGTGGGCGCACAGGGGGCAGGGGGCGCGAGGGGCTGGGATCACCGGGCGGGGGGCGCGCTTGGCCCCGCCCCGCCCCTCCTCCCGCCCCGCCCGTGCTGGGGGCGGCCCGGCGGCGGCGGCGGCGGCGCACGCTTCCTGCGGGCGCGGCGGCTGTGGGCGCGGAGCCGCGAGGCGGAGCCGGGCCGCCGAGCCGGGAGCCCCGAGCGAGCCGCGCATCGGTCCAGCTGCCGGGCCGCGCCGCCGCCGAGCAGCCGCCCCGCGCGCCGCGCCTCGGGAACAAAGGCGCCCGCCGCTCGCCGCTGCCGCCATGAAGCCGGGGCCACCGCGCCGGGCCGGGGCCGCCCACGGGGCAGGCGCAGGGACTGGGGCTGCGGCCGGGCCCGGGGCCCGCGGGCTGCTGCTGCCGCCGCTGCTGCTGCTGCTGCTGGCTGGGCGCGCCGCGGGGGTGAGTGACGCGCGCCGGGACCCCCTCGCCATACCCCGGTCCCCTCCCCCACTGCGTCCCTCGCCCCTCCTGTGGGCTCACCCTCCTCCACCCCGGCATGGCAACGGTGGGGGAAGGCCAGCCGCGCCGCCGGTCGCCTTCTAGGGGCTCGGTCCCCTTCCTTTTGGCACACTCCACAGAGGCCCGGCGGGAACAGCGCTGCCCCCCTCCCCAGTGGTTCTGGGAATCCGCCTCCCCGCGAGCGGAGCGGGGTCCCCTGCCCTGGGTGAGGGGCGCGGGGAGGGCCTGACGGCGGGCTGGGGGTCGCTGGGCGCGTGTCCAGGGCTGGGCGTGTCTTGGGTCTGGAGCAAACGTGGGTTTTGCTCGTGGGTGTGCCCGGACAGCGGCCACTTTTAGGGCATCGTGTCTGTTTCCCCTACTGGGGGAGGGTATGTGCGTTTGGTTCCTCCCAGGGTCGCTTTGATGAGGGCCATGGGGCCCAGAGAAGTGGAGGGGTGGATGGTGACTTGTGTGAAGGTGACCTGAGGGGGGTGTGTGAGGTTGACTGTGTGTGGGTGTCCACTTTGGTGAAGGGTGCTGGGACCTGTGGTGTGTGCATGGCTGAAAGGGATGGTGAGTGCCACCATGTCCTACCGGTGCGTTTGGTTGTGTGAGGGTGACCCATTGTGATGGTACCGGAGACAGGGCTGGATGACTGCTGGCCACGGCCGTGTGTGCCTGCAGGGGAGTGTGCAGGGTGGAGGGGCCTCTGTGCTGGGCGTGTGCTGGGACCCAGGGAGTGTGTGTGCGTGTGTGCATGTGTGTGTGTGTGCATGCAGGTGCATGGGGCGCATACCTCTGAGGGGGCCAAGGGTGTGCAGGTAGAGGTGGGTGCATATTGTGTGAGGCGACTCCTGAGTGTCCCTTTGAGTGACCGACTGCAGCAGCCTCCGTCCCCTCCAACTGATGAGCAGGAGGAGCAGGGTGTGGGGAGGAAGGGCCTCCTCTCTGCTTTGAGGGACGCAGGCCCCAAGTGAGCTCCCCAGGGGGCACAGGTCAGGGGCCCAGACAGGCACGAGATGGGGGTTTCTAGGCCCAGTCTTTTCGGTTCCTTCCAGGACCTGTGCTGTCCCCTGTTCCTCAGGTTGAAATGGACCCAGGCCTGTCAGGCAGGCACCCCCCACCCAGAACCCACCCTACCCCTGCAGGTCCCCTTGACCCTCAGCCAGCCAGTCTCTACAGTGGGAAGAAGGCAGGTAGGGACTCAGAGGCTGCTGCTTGGACAGATGGGCTACTCACTGGCCTTGCTGGTCTGGCGCTGTGAGCCTGCGGGGAGGGGTGTTGACTGCCACCAAGTACGTGCACGGGAGCTGCATGTTCCAGCCCACTTCTCTGTGAGGTGGGTGAGGAGGAGAGGTCCCTGGGGGGGACAGAGACCCAGCCCATCCTAGCGGCTGGGTCACTTTCTTAGCCACACTCTGGAAGACCGTCTTTGAAATCAAAGTGTTAGAAACCTCACAGTTTTGGGTTCCAATCCTGTTGCCACCACTGGCCCGTGGTGTGACCTTTGAGAAATCATCTTGCCGCTCAGAGCCTCTGTCTTCCCCATCTGTGAAATGGGCCTGTAACAGCCTCCTCAAAGATGAACTGAGGGAATGTGTGTGCTGCTCTTCAGAAGGCGCTTAGTAGATGTTTGGTGTATCCATGGGTTAAAAGGGGCTCCGGACAAAATGCTTTAGACTTGGGGGCCCCTCAGGAATCTCAGGCTGTGTGACCTCGGCAAGTCACGCCCCTTTCTGAACAACTGCTCCTTATTCAAAGAGCAACACTGATAATTCACTGCCCCGCAGGTGGTGGGAGGGATTGATTTGAGAGCACAGCTGGGAACAGGCCCTGGCACACAGTAGGGCCTCTGTGAGGCAGGGTGACCCAGGGCGAGGGGGAGGGTGTGATTCAGACCCAGTGCTGGGTGGCAGATAAAGCAAAGCCTGGGGCTGATGACTTGAAGGAGAGAAGGGGTGAGGCCCCAGAGGAGGGGTGGGGTCTTTTTCCAGGCCTCACACCTCCCTGGGCTTGGGCTGTACGGCCTCACCAAGTAAGGCCTCACCTTACTTGGCCTGGGAGGCAGAGGGTTGGTGGGCGGTGCCCAGTTGCCAGGGGTGCCACTCCAGAGGAGAAGGGCAAAGCCTGCAGGAGCAGGGACGGAGCTGCAGAGTCCCGCTGGGATGGCTCCAGGGGTGGCTTCCGTGGTGGGGTCCGCTAAGATCACTGGGCTGGGCAGTGGCTGGCTCAGGGCAGGGGAGGAACAAGGTGGCCCCTTGGTCTGCCTACCAGCTTGAAAGGGAGAGTGTGTGTGTTGAGGGCGGGTGGGGCGGGGTGAGGAGCTTTCAGAGAGACCTCAGGGCGGATAACAGGTCTCGTTCATACTGCAGATGGTGAGTTGGGGTGTGTGTGTGTGTGTGGTCCTGGCATCTGCCTTGTGGAGTCTTCTCTTCTGAGAAACCAGGTGACTGTAACTCTAAGGGACATCTGCCTGCAGGGCCACCTCAGCTGCTGTAGTTAAGTCACCACCCAGAAAGGCTTGGAGTGTGGGGATCCTGGAAATTCGAGCTTTGAAACATGTTTCTGTATAATAAAAGCTCAGGGCCCGATGGGAATTTAGGTGCGCGTTAGTCTTCTTTGAATACTCCCAGTGATGGGAGTTCACTACTTTGTGGCTGTGTGACCTTGTGAAACTTACTTAACCTCTCTGTGCCTTTGTTTCCACCTCTGTACAATGGGGGAGACTAGGAGAATGAAAGGGGTTAATATGTAAAGCTCTTAACACAAGACCTGGCACTTAGTGAGCACTCAACAAATGTTAATTTCTTGTTCTTTTACAAAGTTGCCATTCTACGGTTGGGAGTGTGGGTAGGGGTGGGGCGGGGAAAGGTGAGGGACTGTGGGGCAAGGATATCAATCAGGGAATTCTTTGAAGTCCCACCCCCGGTGGTTCCTGCTCCTTCCCCACCGGCACCCTTTCCCTCACTCAAGGCTCCCCATTCCTCTCCCCTCCAGCTACTCCAGTTGACTCTGAATGTTGTGTTACCAGGGCAAGATTGTTCTCTGTAAAAACACAAAGTTGGGGACCCTTGGGCTGTTCCAAGCCAGAGCCTGACACAGGGGCACCACCGGGATCTGCCGCCTGTTAGCCTCTGAAATAGCAGTGGCTCTGGGGACAGACACCTGCTGTGTGATTTTGGGGAAGGGATTTCTCTGTTTGAACTTCCTCATCTGTGAAATGGGGACAGTAGCAGTGCCAGCCTCGCAGAGATGTTGTGGCGTGATGACGAGCTCCTAGCGGAGACTGAGCCCAGCCTGCCTTGTCAGCCCGCAGGGGTGCGGCCTCTCCAGGGGGGAGCCTGGAGAGGTCAAGGAGGGCATCGGGGGCAGGAGGTTCGAGCTGAGCCATGCCGGTGGCCACCATGCGACTCGAGCCAGCTGTAGCTTGCCCTGACCCTTGGCTTTTTTTCCTATATGTCAGCTGAGGATGAATACTTGACTTACAGGACTGTACTGGGGGTCACAGCATCCCCCTGGTGCGGTGGGAACCTGGTGCCTCCGCCCCGCCTCCAGCTGCAGGCCCAATGTGTTTCTGGGGGGGGGGGCTGAGCTCTGCTGGAGAAAAAGGGTTTGGCCTTTTGAAAATAAATGGTTCCTTCCATCTGATGGAGGGGCCCAGGGCCCTGGGGGGTCCTCCCCTCCCCCGCGCAGTCAGCAACACTGGGGCAGGGCCTCTGGGCTCGGGCTCTGGAAGATGCTAGAGCAGCAGTGGGGTGGGTGTGAGGGCGTCCTGCAGGGGAGGAGGAGGAGGACACGACAGAGCTCCCCCCAGGAGCCAGGTCTCGCACAGGCCTCCCTTCTGTACCTCCTGATGGAGCTGGGCCTCCCCCCAAAACTGCTGGGGGCAGAGGGGCGGATCACTCCAGCAGGGGCCAAAATAGGGTTCCTGGAGGCTGGAGCCAACTGAGGCAGCTGGGGGTGGGAGGCGGTCAAGCCTCCATCTCCCCGCCCTGGGCCCTGGCAGGGGCGGAGGGCTTTGTTTGGGAGGCCGCCTCCACACCTCTGAGGGCGTAGTAATAGAACCAGCGTTTATTTAATCCTCGAGGTGATCTTTGGAGGTAGGAATTATTGGAACTCTCATTTTACAAAGGAGGAAACTGAGGCACAGAGAGGGTAAACGAGTTCCTCAAGGTCACACACAGCTGGAAAGTGGCAGCATTGGACTGAGCTAGCACTGGCAGGCTAGCGGAACTGGGCGGCAGTCCTGATTTCATCCCCTTTTGCTGTGTGATCTTGGGCAACTTACTTCACCTCTCTGGGGCCTTCCCACCTCCCAGATTACGCCCATGTTACTGCTGCTTCAGAAGGGCCTGTTCTTTGCCAGGCTCTGGGCCAGGTGTGTCCCGTATCTTTTCTCACTTAACTCTCATCCTGTCCTTGGAGGTGGGTGGTGCTAGGTGGGGGAAGGGACTTGCTCCTCCACCACCTCACAGGGCTGTCACCTGCGAAACGAGCTCCTGTGAACGTCACTGGGGACGGGTCCAGGAGAGCGTTCTTTGTGAACTGTACAGGGCTGTCAACAAAATTGGGGTCGGGGCAGGGCCTGTGTCCAGGCCCTGGGGTCACGGCATGGGCGAGAGGAAATGCTCAGAACCTCGCGGCGGGAGGGTTCTGAAAAGCCGCGTCGCGTCCCTCCTGGATGCCCTGGATGTGCCCAGGGTCGGGGCCCAGGCCTGCCTCTGGTCCCTGCTGGTCGTGGGGAGCTCAGCTGTACACCCCTGCTGCCCCGTCCTTGAGTGCTGGCCCCACTGCTCCCGAGGTTCAGTCTGGCCCCAGTGACTGAGGCTCCGAGAAGACCAGTGACCTGGATGCCAGGCAGCCGCCAGGCAGCCGTCAGGAGCGGCGTGAGGACGCCTTCCCGATGGGCCGCCGGGGCTGCCATGTCCTTTGCCGAGCCTCCGTGGCCAGCTTTGGGTCTG